GGTCTGCGCACTTGAATGACTGGATTGGAGACGTCGCAGCTCTCCGCACTTCATAGTCGCCGACCGACACCTCCGGATATAGACATGAATCAGTTCGGCTCAATTCCTCGAAGTCATCCCAAAACCCGGCCCCCGTCGCGTCGGTACCCATGGCCGAGTACGTCTCCCTCGTTTTTCTCCTGACCCTGGTGCAAGACGCTGCACGCAGACCAGCCTGGCTTCTGAACGACATCACTACTCCGGCGCCTTGAGCACTATAGCTGTCGTGCAACCAAGATGTGTCTTGTACAGACAGAGTGTTGTTCCATATGTGATCTGCAGCTATTACACCGTATCTCTCATTGACGCCGGATATGGAATACCCCGCCATTAAAAATAAGGCTCCAGCCAGTGGAGGGGCCACCGTGAGTAGTACCCTCAATGGACCCCAGCCCCTCCAAGCCACACCTAGAATGGGCAGGCGGGGGGCAGTAAGTAACTTGTTCTTCTTTTTTCCGTATACTTGAATTTTGTCCAAAGAATGGTTTGCTCTCCCCGCAAAGTACCACCCTAACTGCGTGGCTATAAAATCCAGGACTATTGAATAGGTCCCGGATATTATGCTCGGGTTAACCTGCACTCGCATTTCGCGCTGTTGAACTGGTTTGAGGTTAGGTGCGTAAATACAGGAGAGGACTGGGAGGTGTCGTTGTGCGGCAGCTATCTTCTGTGCGCGTCCTTTTGTTTCCAGGCGCCCAACAAACATTCTGTTTCTCAACTTGTTGTTACAACTTGTTGTAACAACAAGTTTCCCCACTTACAAATGTCCCAGTTACCATAGATGCTCATACCCTTGAAGGTATCCACCAATGATTCTACCATTGGAATAGTAGATGGTCATAGCCTTGGTACGAGTATACCTTGAAGGTATCCAACAATGATTCTACCATTGGAATACACTGAAGTAGATGGTCACAGCCTTGGTACGAGTATTTCCTTGATGCCTTGATGCCTTGCCTTGATGGTAAACAATACTGTTATGATTCTACCCCGCCCATGAAATACTGTCACCCTGTACAGTACTGTAAGTTTACCTGGGTTTAGTGGGGATTTGACGCCGCGATTTCGGGATGTTTTTTCATTTTTGCTTTTTGCTTGTTTATTCATGCAGAAACTGAGAAACTTCATGATTCTTTATGAAGAAACGATTTTAGACAATGGAAGACACTGCATGGAGATGGGCTACAGGGACCCTAGGAAAGCATGGGGGATATCGATTTCGATGGTTGATCGCGATTATCGGTGGGTCGCCTGAAGAAGGCCGAAGTGGTGATTTTTTCATTTTGCAGCATTATCTGGCAGTTTTTGCGCGCAATTGCGCGCAAAAACATGATTTAATGAAATCGCGGATTTGACGTCACTTTTACAGTAAGGGAGATTTTGCGTTTCGCCAATCGCCCCCCTAAACGCAACATTATCTCAAAAGGTCTTACTGTATATTTACGGTAGATGACGGTGAAAAGTTTGAAGAACAAAACGTATCAGCTCCCCCTCTATTCCTAACCAAAATCAACATTTAAATTAAAGAAGTACTTCCAGTGCTCTAAATGAGCTCAAACTTGGACAGAGGGTTGGACCCTGCCGAAGGAGACACATGCCTAAGATTCCGATGCTGTACCGAAACGGCACCACAACTGTGGTGAACGCCCTCATTGGCTTAAGCCACCTCAAGGAGCTATCCTACACCGAATTTCGAACCACTGCGCATCAAAAAATTGTATTTGCTTTTATTTTTTTCGTAATTACCCAGGTAACCGGAGCACGCTGTCGCGCAAGAGACCACCTTCCCCATCGGGATGTCTGCCGTTGCATCTCACGCCGACCCCTCTCCGACATCCACAATACATGCGCGATTCGTGCTCCTTCCGCCGCGTCCCTCGCCGAAATGCGCTCCTCCGCCTCCCGCTCTCGCTGAATACGACGTTTCTCTGCATTGAAGTATACCTTGAATGTGGACCAAGGTATGTCAAACAGGCGAAACGCCGCGCGCAGGGAGCCCTTTTTGTTGATGACGTATCGACGGGCGTTGTCCATCCGAAAGTCTTTGTCAGTCGTTGGGAGGAGTCGGAAAGGCGTAGAGTGGGCCCTCGGGATCGGGGGTGATTGCGTGTGAGAGTACCAGGCGGGCTACTTCGGGGCTGAGGGGGTGCTTCATGGGGAAATCCATGTGTGCTGATGGCTCAAGTGTTGTTGATTTGGGCGCGCGAATCTGGCGCGGACAAAGAGAGGGCGGGGAATTCGAATATGCAATCAGATTGATGCGGCGTCTACTCGTGTTTGAGATATTCGCTCACGAGTGCTCGTCATGCCCGGGCATGATAACTTTATGCAAAAGTTTAATAACTAATCCGGTTAGGAATGCAGTAGTGGTTAGAGAATGTGGTGTCCGATGATAGGTGTACAATTTTGTTGGTGATGATGGTGGTTGTGTTTATGGGGTTTTCACAGTACTGTGCGCCGATGAGCTCACTACGTCGGGAGATTAGCCAATAGGGAAATGTAATGCAACAGTAGAAGTAAGGATTTTTGTGTATTTGTACAAGTACAGGGCGCCCATAGCTCCCCCTGCAGTGACCCGAAAGGGTAAGAATGTAAGGTGCAGTGAGTACAGTAGCTCAAAAATGGCCAACAATTCCCACAAAAACCTGCAATTCTGACACGCTCAAGGCCATCAATTGGGTATGATAAACGAGGAGGACGGCCCAACAATTGATGTCTCGAATTTCCCATGCAGCTGTATTGGGATTTTTGTGAAATCTCCAAGAGACGGTGGCCAATCATCACTATCCCCGTTATTGCAAGTTTGTATAATTTTTTGCGCACTCCTGCAACGCAAAAACCAGCCTTTTAAGGCACACCCTGAGGGTGCAGACAACACGCAGTACAGTATGTTGGCACGTGAATGTCACTTTTTCATAAAAACGGGGCATGTTTAGACACACCCTGTGGGTACAGGGTGTGGGGCATGTTGAGACACACCCTGTGGGTGTGTCTTGACATGCCTTGTTTTTTATGAAATAGTAGAGCTCAGAGCATCTCCACTGGTTGGTGTTTTTTGGGTCTAATGATCTATGGCCCATGAATTTTAGACCCATTAGATAATTTCGTCTCCACTCGTTCCAAAAAACACTGGGTCTATCCCTACCAAAAAATACCGTGGGTCTATCGCAGGATCTATTCAGACCCCGAAATAGACCCGGCAATAGACCCGATCTATTCGCCACGTTGCACACGTGAAGCACAAATCTTGGCATTTCTCGTCCTGCCTTTCTCGCCACCGCCGCTCCCATCCCCTTCGCCTGACCTACGGGTTATTTCCAGTCATACGGTTCCCGCGACTTTTATGTGCTACCCAAACTGCCCATTGCCGTCCTTCACTGTTTTGTGACGGAAAGAGCGCGCGAAGGTCTTCCATACTGCACACACGTACACATGGAAATTCATTTATCAGGCATGACAGAGGTACGCACATCTCCTCCCCCTTTCTTTTTACTAACATATCCCTCCTGCTTCTCTTGTTTGGCCGTTATGGGAAGGGGAAAGTCATGGACGCCCGTTGAGGACGTCATAGCATGCAAGGCGTACATGGGGGTATCTGAAAACGCGGTAACTGGATCGTCGCAGCGGAAAGGAACTTTCGAAGCTCAGATTGCCGAGCGGTACAACAATTTAATTACAAACCATTACGAGCAGGGAGATGTGCTACTACCTCTGGAATCACGTTCCGGTTGCTCAGTCCGACAAAGATTTAAGGATATCAAAGCAGCATGCATGAAAATGGAGGCAAACATGAAAAGGATTAAGGCAGCGATGACCGGTAATGTCACGGATTCAGATCATAAGCGAGTTGCTACAGCTATGTACAATGGCCAGGTAAGTTCTGCAACAGAAATGTACTTGTACTGTTCTCCGGATCCCGTCGAGCCCGTTCGACCTTTCCCATTTCCTGAAGCTTGGAAATTTTTGTCGAGCACAAGAATTTGGACATCTATCGATGAAGTGACAACCAAAGCCGAGAAGCGTAGAAATGCTCAGAAAAAGCGAGCAGAGGCTGCTGCAGCAATATATGATGAGGAGGGAATCGCGATAGAGGAGTCGCAGGAAACAGGAGCACCCGAGGTGCAAGTGCCAGACGCTATCTCTCGACCTGTAGGCGTCAAAAAGACGAAGAACATGAGCAATGCACTACGCGTCAAAAAAGAAGCAAACGAAAAGCTAGAATTTCTAGGAAAAGTGCAACAAAGAAAAGCAATTGTTGCAGAAAAGGCTTTGGTATTGGCGAAGCTGAGAGAACGACGAGAATTTTTTTCGAGCGAGGGGGTGAGCGCACAAGCAAGATCGAAATACCTCCGCCTTACCGAAAGAAAGATGCTCGCCGATTTGGAAAAGGACTTGGACGAAGAGTTAAGCAGCTGTCCAACGGAAGCGGCTTGTTATGGTGAGGATTTGAGTTCTGCACACGCATTGATCGCAAATGGAGAAGAATTTAATCATCCCGATGATGATGACCCGCTTCCAACTGAGATACGTACATCCTATGTCTCTGGTGATTACATTTCTAAGCCGACTTCGAGGCCTCGAAGCATGCAGATGAAAGATATTCTTAATGAGACATCCACACATTGCGGTCACTGAGGGAGAGTCACATTTTTGTGACATACATTAAAGCTTTTGCAAGTGCTAACTGCTGCGACTTATCCCCAGGTCGTGTTCTGTCTTACTTTGCTCTGTGATAAGAGAGACGAACACGCTCATATATACTGCGTTGTACATTACCAAGGGTACTGTACTATGTGGAGGGGGATCCGACGGGCCGGTCTCGGCCTGCTCCAGGAACGTCCTAGGGGAGCTCTAATATTTTCGGGTGCAGCGTACAGCGCCCTGTGATTTTAGAGGCGGTAGAGAGTGCGACGTAATTAAAACTGTGTCAATCAGAGAAACCCAATCCCTGTGCAAGACGGTCATTCAGGTTCCGTATTAGCGTAAGATTGCCAAATATGCGTGATTAAGGCTTTTGTGAGCGCCACATGCTTGGCATAATCCCCACGATCGTGCCCTGTCGACCCAATTCTAACTGCAGACGTAAAGCACCCTGTACCGCCGTTCTCACCATCGGGAATTGGCACAATGATGGACCTAGAGTCGGCAGCTATCAGAGCGTCAATCTCCGCATCAGATATCCTCACACCTCCGGTCCCATCGCCAGAAAACCCTCCTCTGCGCTCTTCGACGATCATATTGTGAAGTATGACACAGGCAGAGACAATTTCCTCCATATCACTTGCGCTCCAGAGCCTCCCGGGGGAATATAAAATATTCCAGCGAGCGAACAGGACCCCAAAAACCCGTTCTACTGCTTTGCGAACTGCCTCTTGTCGCATTCGAAACATTTGCTTTCGCGGATTTTGTGTCTCCGGCAAAGTCTTGACAAAAACCTTGTAGTTCGGATATATTCCGTCAGCCAAGTAATAGAACCAGTCAAACCTTTTTTCTGCAATTACACTTTCCACGCGGAAAGGAGGGTAGACTCCGCTTAAAACCTCTGCAAAGTGCGGGCTGACATCAAGGATGTTGATGTCGTTCATGCTTCCAGGGTACCCAAAGGCACAATGCCATATCCAAAGATCCAAATCGCAAATAACTTCCATTCGTAGTGTAGAGACTTTTTCTTTTCCTACGTTATGACCTTGATGTGCTTTGGGTGCATTTTTCCAATCCCACCCTGCACAGTCCACACATCCCATACAGCCCGGAAATCCTACCTGTGCAAATCGCGCTTCAATGCGCTGAAGGTCTACTTGCGTCGGCGCGCGCAGGTATTCAATTCCAAATGCAGAAACCACACCCCGGCAAAACTCTCGGAGCGACTTCAGAGCGGTAGTCTCACTCATTCTACAGTACTCATCCACAGCGTCACCTGGAATGCCGTAGGACAGCTGCCTCATGGAAGCAACAACCTTTTGCAGCGGATGGATTCCTTTTCGTCCTGTACAGTCCGAATTAATCCCCAGTCTTATGTAGGCGTTTCTCTCCATGACACCGTCGTACACGCGGAGAAAAAGCTCTTTCGGCATTCTGAACCTTCTTTCGAAGAGGCCAGCACTGTAAACAGGACCCCGCTCTCCCGATCCATCATCCCTCATGCTCCGCTCGTCCCAAAAGTAATCCAGCATTATGCGGCGATGCCCACTCGAAAAGTCTCGCAAGACGTTTGGACTACGTCCAGGACGGGATCCGCCGTGCTTTCCGTCATTCTCTTCGTTAAGCTTATCATGTGCTACAATAATTGCGACAGTATCGACAATGTCGTCGTCACTGTCATGCACGAGTTCGTCTAAGTTGAAGTTCATGGTCGTTCTGTAGAAATACGAAACTGGCAGTTAGAGAGAGGGGCGGGGGAATTACGAAGGGAGGGGGGCGGGCAGGCGTGCGAGAGCAGAAGATAGACCATTAGACCGTCACTGGTGGAGAGGGGTCCCTTTTTAGCTCCATCTATCAATAGCATAGACCCGCGGCCGAGTGCGGTCTAATTTTTGACTGGGAGCCAGTTGTAATTCTCCACCTGGCATTTTGGACAAATACATTATATCCCATAGACCCTCGCCAGTGGAGATGCTCTCAGCCACAATGATCGGGCTGTTGCGCAATCACCTTGTGTTGACAAATGGTCTCGACACTTCCGAAACGACGCGAAGCAAAGTGATCATGCGTAATCTTACAAGGATTAAACCAAAGGCCTTGGTACAGTATGGTTAAATGATTTTAACACTGAACATCAGTTTCATACACTATCAAAATGATGTCACAACAAAGAGTACAGCACCGCACCAATCACGGAGACTGAGTGTCCTCGTGAGAACCGATCATGCTGGGAAATTTGGTATCTATCTTTTGTCGACGCCTGCGACAGTAGCGTGCGTTCTTGCCGGAGCCAAGCCTCCTTGAGATATACGTCATTGAGAACGAGATGTACGTCATCCTTGACCGATTGAATGCTTCGACCTCGGCAACACAATCGTTCCACCGTTGCAGCGCCATTTTTCTCTTGGATAGAACCGCGCTAGCTTCTTGCAGAGTCAAGTCATTTTCTACTCGAGTTGTGACTTGTTCTTCTGCGGCCTACCGTAATGCTAGATGCAATGACTTCAGACTCTCTTGAAGAGTTTCCGTCTCCAATTCTGTCCCACGAATGAATTTTGAAAGCTCATCCTTTCCTTTTTGAGGCGCTTGTGATCTTCTGCTTCGCTGTGCAGGTTCAAAAATTGTTTCTCGGAATCATGGAATCGATTTTCTATTCGGAGGAGATTATGTTTTCGCGTTCCAACGCCCGACAATTCTTGTCAACGTCGTCCTGTAGATTCTTCATTCTGTCCGTGCCGCCTCTAATGCCCTCATCAATTTTAGAAAGCCTTCTTATGCTCAAACCGACCTAACCCCTCTTCCCTCACCCACATCCGTGACCTCCCTTCACTCACCGCCGTCCCACCCTCCAAACTCGACTGCACTCCCTTATCACCGTCGCATCTCCGCTCATCTGTATCGCCTTCTTCACGTATCGCAACACTTCGCCCTCCTCTCCCGCCCCTCCCCTTCGACCCCCACCCCCCTACGCCTTAGTCGTGTGCCATCGCCCCGTCCCCTCCACCGTGCCCCTTCCCCTTCGTCTCGTTCTCCATCTGGTCGTCCTCGTCGCTTCGCCGTTAGTATCGCCCTCCCGCGCCACATCACGGGTTCCCTTTCCGCTGCGTCCGCTAGTATCTCCAGCGCGCTCTGCGCGCTGTCGGGGGGTGCTTCCCCACCCATAGCGGCTCCCGTGTATTCCCCGGACGCCCTCATAGTCGAGAACTTCGTCTTGGTCGCCGGCTCTCCAACCGCTTTGCCGACCGCTACGGCCACGTTCTTACCACCACATCTTTTGCCAAGCCTCCCGCCTCTCACTCCGTCGCTTCCTCGTGCACAAATTGTTCGGATCGTCTAGCCTGTTTGGCAGCCAACCATTAACAGTTCGACCCCTTTCCACAGCTACCAGAATGCGATGGCCTCCTAACATCATCCCGTTCGCTTCTCGTCATGCAATCTTCATATCGCGTTCTCGTTCAAACTCAACAAATGCGTAGTCTCTCAAAACTCCCTCTCGATCTGATGGCATGACAACAGTTGCCACAGCGCCATATGCCTCGAATGCCTCGAATGCATCCTGCAATGACTTCTCCACCATGGTAAAGGGCAGATTAGCAACAAAGAGCGTGCTATACGCATTTTTTGTCTTTGCAGAATCGTCGCTTTTTTGGGACCCACTGCTCTCCTCTCGTTGTTTTTAACGATTTCCGAGGCCCTCTTCAACGCTGCGTTCCGAACACGCCGTCTTCTTTGAGCAGGTGTTTCAAAGGGTGTCTCAGGCTTGCTCACTTCCATCAGCCATTTTGGTATCGCTTCGGTCTTTTGGATCTTCAAACATGGCGGCGAAAGCACCCAAACCTGTCATGGGTTTGAGCTTACGCTGTCGCGGGGGTGGCTTGAACTCAATGGGCTTGCGGGTTGCAAACATTTGAATGATTTGTTTGGGGAGGCGGAAGCGTTGCTGGCCGCTGTAAGGATACGTTCTTCTGTATGACGGATGTGTTGAACGGGGGCATAGAAGATTTCATCCGGCGTGCAGTTAAGTGCGTGCAAAGGAAATCGATGTGAAGGTACATAACACGCTTCGGAACTTTCTGTTCACTCGTATCGAAGAGGAAGAAGGGTTGGATCTTGTGAGTCTGAACTTGCAAAGAGGTCGGTATCATGCAATTCCATCATATACGGATATCAAAATAAAACTGATCGGACGGGGTGTGCGTGGGGCTTCGGATATCACGAAGGATGCGAATCGGCAGAGTCGGTTGTTGACGGCGTACGACGGAAATGTGAGGAATCTGGATGCATGAGTTGGACTTATGGCTGAGGATCATGAGGGCGGTGGACAGATGGGGGCGCTTTTGGGAACAGCAATTTAGGGCGTTGCGCGATGGAGATAGGTTCTACTATGAGAACACGGGGGTGTTCTCGAGCGAGTTGAGGAGCGCGATCGCGAGGCTTGAACGGCTGTTCTCAGGGTCGGGAAGCGTGTTGAAGGGGGTTTTGCTACGCAATACGAATATCGCAGCGGGGGATATTCCGAACAGGGTGTTCTTCGTGTAGATAGGAGCGATAGGTGGTGTTGACATGTGTTGATAAACATGGGCTGCGGCGCTTGCTTCCCCCCACCGCATGTCACGGCTTTCACATCGCAAATCGTCCTTTCCCCCTCGCTTCTATCGCAGGCTTGATCTTGTCGCAAGGTGGCTTGAGGTCGAAGGCGATGGCAGCGATGGGAAAGACCGAGGTCGGATGATGGGGGATCCGTTGGAAACGCGGTGCTCTGCCCAAAACGCATAGCCACGTGTGCCGCACCCACACCTGTACACGCGGTCGACGTGCACTCGATCCACGTGCACGTGATCAATGCCAATCCCACAGATCCAATCCCAAAAAAATGCGATCCATCACGCCCTGCTCTCCCACCCCTCTTTTCAAGCCACCCCCTCGGCTCGAGGCATCACGTAACACCATGCCCATCCACCCCTTAAAAACCAGCCTGTTAAGACACACCCTCAGGGTGTGTCTTAACAGCCTGGTTTTTGAGACAGGGTGTGTCTTAACATGCCCCGTAATCCGATCCTCAATTCGAACCCTCCACACACCTTATTTTCCCCCTTAGCCCGCCACGCGCCGCGTCTCCTTATCGACATACACTCTGCCCACCCAATCGCACGTCCACCCCTCCCGCACCCTAAATCCCCTCCCGCACCCCCTCCCGCACCCTCACACCCACCCGCTCCATCCCCACCTCACGCATTCGCACCGCGCCATATTAGGCACACATCCGACATCACTTCACGCCTCTATCCGTTTCCACGCATCTCCCCGTCCCCCCGAGTTCTTTACTTGCATTGCACAAAGTCAAGCGCTTTGTGCAGGGGGGCGCATGTCGGTTTGAGAGCGAGCAGAGTTTTCTTGCGGGGCATATGTATTGAACGATGCGTTTTTGCGCGCCCACCGTTCTGCACTGTGTGTCTTGACGTCGAGCGCATGACCATGTGACGTGTTCGTTCGACTTCATTTACCACTTACCCTTCAGTAGTATGCACCTGAGATATTTTGAGATACGGCGCGCATGCGCCAGCAATGCATGTCCCACCCAATCTGCCACGAAGACTCCACCCGTGGTCTCTCCACGCAATTCTGCAAACCCATCCATGCACCCCACACGCCACCGCGCGAGGAGACGAAGCCGCCCACGACTGTGCTGTCAAAAAAAATGCTCGTGCGTCTGTGGCTGCAAGCTGGAAACGCCGGGTGGCTGCGTGAACCCGTTTTGCAGCTACCCACACATTCATCCACCTACGCGCGTCATGTGGCACGTGATAATCACGCAGTCGCGCTCCTTCTCGTCGTGATTTATACACTCAGGTTTGCTTTTGTGGGAGAGGGTGGATTTGATTGTGGAGAGATGGGATAGGGTGGTAAGGGAGATTGGGCTTGTGTGCGAGCGCACTGAAAGGATTGCTTTGGTATGTCGGAAAGGTGAAGGAGAAGAGAAGGATTTTAGTCCGGGGGGATGAATGGATGGATACAGGGCGATGAAGCTAGAGGGGCAGTTTAGGCGTGCGTGGCCGGAGCGAAGTTTTTGACAGTTAACATGCCTGATTCAAAGCATGGCCGTATGTGGGGGCGATGTTTGGGCCTGCTGTGCTGCAATGCTTAATGTCATGCCGAAGGAGCATGATCTGCAGTTGGAGACCATTTTCGCGAGGAGGTTCATTACAATGAGCCATGATTTTGGGGAGGTGCTTCCTGTGTATCCAAGGAGTTGCGATGTTGGGGCACACCTAAGCGCACGGAATGTGTAAGTGTCGTTAGTTTGCGCAGTTTTATTCTCAAGTTTTACTAACGGAAACTGGTCGTGAGTGATTTTGCTTGGGTAACACGATGGCGGTAGACGCCGAGCAACACCACATGCTCGAAACTTACGAAGATGTCGCCAATTTCCTTTTACAGACCTACGCTACGGACGACACAATCGCTGAGGCTTACACCGAAGTTGCTTCCTTCCGTCAGAGTTCTAACATGACGGAAGAAGCCTACAGCAACCAGCTGCGGTACAAGGTCTATTGCGGTACTGTCTTTTCCGATCGCCGGCTGAAGTCGCTGTACGCGGAAGGATTGCTCAGTGCTCCCTGCGAGGTGGGCGCAAGTAGGGAATTATCTAGCGACACACGCCATGGTGGACTTCCAGGCGGTCGCTAGATACGCACAAGACATCGGGGAG